AATTTCGGTTACCCAGAACCGGTTTTCTAAACCGAAATTTTAAAAAAATTATATTTTAGTTTTTTATTTTGCAATCCCTAACACTCATTAAGTCACTACACTAACTGTAACACTCTAACACTCACTTCAGTCTTCACTTGGCAACTCCACGCCTCCACTACTCTATTACTTAGATCTCAAACCTCACTATTCAGACTCAATCGCGCCGGTACTCAGACGCTCACCTCAGTAACTCTCAGTCTCTCACACTCTTAGAGTCTCATTGACTCAGTCTCTGTCTCTTACTCTCTCTCGGACTCTCAATTCTCAGATTTGTGTTCTCACTTCTCACGCCGAAGTCACGCGGTCATGCCTCAGCCAGTAGCCACCGAACTTTGCTCAACAATCTATTGCTTAATAGTCGGCAGTCACCAGTCGCGGTCACCATTCTTCTTCCTTCACCAAGTCTCCACGTCGTCGTCTGTTTTCGGTGGGTGACCTCATCTCTTTGGCTCTTTGCTTTGTATTTCTTGGTGACCTCATCTTTTTGCAATGAACACTGAACAGGAGAGCCCATGGCTCAGATATTTGATGTCCTGTAACATTTTCTGACATGTTAAAAGTTTTCAGGGAACGTTTAGAGAGCATGACCTGAAAGATGAGGAGCTTTTTAGTAAAGTTCTAGCTTCTCATTTGAAGGGTCCGGAGCTAAAGTGAAGATGTTAGAGAAGAAGGAACATAAAAAAAAAAAAAAAATAGTAAAGCTATGTGAATATGGCTCCTTTTTGGTTTAATCATCTGGGTTGAGAAGTTTGGTTTTGTTGTATGATTTGAAATGTGTATCATTTCTTTAATTTGTGTTGATCCTAATCCTGTTAATTTATTTATCTAGAATAGCAAGCAAAGGAAGAAGATTTATATATTTGTTCGTTGTGTATCATTTTTCTCATGTTTCAAGTTCAAATATTAAAAGATTATAACATGTTAATTAGTAAATATATATTTGTCCCGTTGTGGTGCAGATTTTGCATTTGGAACTAAATTTAGCTTTATTTGATGTACATTAAAATTACATGAATTCAATTCAATTACAATAAATATAAGTATATAACTTTAATTCAAGTACGAAAAAAAAAAAAAAAAAAAAAAAAAAAAAAAAAAAAACCTGGAGAAAACAAAAAAGGGCCAAAGTGGAGTGTGCGAATTGGCCCAAAAAGGCAGCCCATAACTTATGGGCCATAAGTGGAGTGTGCGAATTGGGCCGAAAAGGCAGTCCATCATTAATCTTATTAACCGAATAACCGAACTGAATTTTCGGTTCGGTTTATAACCGAAACCAGACCGGTTTCGGTTAAATTTATTTTTAAAACTGAAAACCGGTTCGGTTCAAGCAAACGGTTAACCGGTTCGGTTAACCGGATTTTTCCACCCCTAAAGAGAATGATGTGAAACATTGACACCAGACGATGAGGATGAACAGCCATTATTGATTATCTTTAATTTCTTAATGGAGATTCAACACATATTTATAAAATCCCTACTGTAAAACAATTGGCTAAGTGCGCTGCCGCCTGACTTTTAAGTTTCTTGTAAGACTTTTGTTTTTGTTTTTTTTTTTTTTAAATTATTATTATGATAAAGCGGGCTCAAGCCTAAAAACTAGCTCACGTTGGACGTGCACGGCTAGGTCCAAACCCAAGATCCACCTCCTTCACACTCAACGTGTCACACCAAGTCCAAACCCATAACCCACCATCACCCCAAGCAGGGACATAGCCAAAAATAAAATATAAGGGGGTCAAAGTTGGAAGAATAATACAATTTTAAATTAAAATAAGCATACGTAAGACCATCTCCAACTTATTACACCAAATTGGTGTGATTTTTTGTATGAAACACTATGCATCTCTAACCCACTGCACCAAATATTACACCAAAAAGAATATTTCTTAAAATATTTTTTTCTTTTTCTTTTATTGTAATAATCAATAATTAATCTATTTCACTCATTATTTTTGTATATATTAATTAAATATTGGGAATGATATTTTTATTAAATAATAATTACTTTTAAAATTATATTAATTTAATATAATTAAGCATTTATTTAATCAAATAAACATTACATTTAATATAGAAAAACATTACATCTAATATAAAATGGTACCAACATAAATTTAAGGTTTTATAAATATTAACATTGTTAAGGTGTCACTCTCATAATGTTTAGGGGAATACTATTTCTTCCATGAAAGAAACTATTTTTCCGAAAACCTTGTCAACAACACATAAGTCTCCTGTAATTTCTTGGAATGTCAAAGTTACAAAAACCTTATAAGTTTAGCTATGTCTTTAAAGTTGAGCATTCAAACTTTTTTCTGGGAAGCATTTCGAAGAAATTGCAGACATATATATGTTGACTTCAAAGTATTAATATGTGGGTTAATAACAATAATTCCCCTTAGGTTTAACCAACTAGTAAAAACCCCCCTTTAGTGATAGAAAATAACATAAATCCCCTATTTTTTTTAGCGTTAAAATAAATGGCAGAGGGGTATTTAAGTAAATATTCATTAACCTATCGTATTGTAAATTCTAAAAAAAAGAGTTCAATAACGGCTAACTAAAGGTAGGAGGATTTTTATCATTTCTAAAATCTCAAGGGAACCTTGTTTGTTGATTAAACATCAGGGGGGTTAAAGAAAAAAAACCACTTAATCAATCTAGTGTAAACAAAATAATCAGAGATTAGAATTAGAGGTTTAACATCTTGACAATTGATGACATGTTTGACTAGGGTTTTGATAGATTATAAAAAAAAAATGCTTAGCCATCTATATGGGTAAATGTTATTATTCTTTTAGTTATGTAACATTGAAGGACATTTGATGGAGAGAGAACTTTGGCGATATGGAATTATAGACAAGTGGGTGTGTATATATATATAGATTGTCTAAATATTGTTTTGATTGATTTGAAGTATTTAATTTGTGAAAAGTTGGTTTGGGTGATCTGAGAGACTCAAGATTCCTAGAGGAGTGTGAGTATTCAGAAATGTTTCGAAAGATTCCAATTTTTGAAAACAGAATTAATATGGAGATCAATATGAACTGCATAGAAATCTAAATCCCGAAATACAACCAAATGAGTTCTAAAAGCATAAATACATAAAATTAAAGTTCTAAACTAGGGTTTCGAAAAAATCTAGTTACAAAAACATAGTATCATCAGAGTGCACTAAAGTTTGTAAAACATGCTGATGTTCATGCATCGATGCCAACCTAGAGTGTAGAGTATGCTCCGCACGAACCCGGTCTACAATCCTGACGAGGGAGGACATAAAACAGTGAGCTAGGGAGCCCAATAAGTGGATAATACATTTTATATTAAAAGCCACGCAACACCAATCCATCACACGATACAACATTAATCACGATATAATATTTCTAGATGCCATGGAATCACATACCAAAATCATATAAAACAAATCAATCACCACCACTATACTAGTAACCAAGGACCTAAGTCATAACTTTCACGAGTCTGTCCCAACATAGACATGTAGTTACACCACCCACAGTCTAACCTCAGGGTGGTACCACCCATTGTCTATCCTCAGGGTGTACCATCCACAATCTATCCTTGGGATGGTATAATCAACACTAGATAACCATAATCGACCATAGTCTACCCTCAGGGTGTCATGATATGGTATCAAATGGAATCTCATCCACGGTCTACCCTTGGGGTGTCAAAATCCCACACCGACCAATACTCGCCTGGTGTAATCCCGCCTAAAGCTCATTAGATGTCTATCCTGTCTTGTTAGGATATCATAATCGTTCGATAAGATAGACTATCTCAATACACTCATGAAGCTAAATATAATCTGCTAGCTAATGATTGGAGGGAACGAGTACTATGAAAGATGGTCTCAATCCGAAGGATGCATCCACACACACACATGGCATCCAAATATCGAAACACATAATGAATCATGTTTAAATCCTTACAAACAACCCCCAAAATTATAACTTCCAAACATGATAGTTACACCCCTTATTCCAGAATGCATAATAAACTAGTAAACTCCAACAATAAATAAATTTAAACATTCCAATTTCCAGCAAGAATATTCCGAAGCATATAACCTTCAAATACCCGAAATGCATGCCTATATTTCATTCCAAAACACACATAATATCTTCATAACCCAGGCAACTCATATACGCAACAAGCAGCCAGCATACACCACAAACTTAAATATATTAACAAATATAGCTTAGATCTACTCATATGAAAACTAGAGATGCATGGGCTGTGAATAGGTTTACTATTCCACTCACCTCTCAGCTGTGCACTCTGCTCCACTCTTCTCTTCTGATCCTAGCATCAAGAACAACAATGGTTAGTTTTTCTCTTGGATTGATTAAGAAATGAGAGATCTACCTCCCAAGTTGCATGCATGAATTACTAGAACTTGGGTTACAATCGGTCTGCTCTTCTTTTCTCATCTCCTACTCTATTTCATTTCATCTCCTCAATTTCTCTCTCACTCTACCATTTTCGACCGAACCCATTCTCCTCATCTCCTCCATTTTCAGCCAAACCGGGCTGCATGAACAATATATTTAATTTTTTTCCTCGAAATTTAGTTGCACCCATCCTCTTGCGCTCTAACATTTACGAAAACCAAAAATTGTACATAAATAATAATAAATGCCCTCTCTCATTTGCCTTCAACCACAAATAGAAGATAGTACATAAATCACTTAGAACCTCTGCGAAAAGAGAAGTGGTTCTCTGTTGTAAAGATGGACTATCGATCATATTATTGTTTCTAAACTCAATATGCTTTACATCGAAAGATGAATAAACTAGTATTCAAAAGATATTTAAGGGCACAAACAAAATATAAAGAAAAAGTCTCGTAATTTTACAGAGAACGAAAACTTTGTAAACACTTTATTGTGTGAAACGAAATGGTACACGTCTATTGAGAAAGTGACAACATCAATAAACTATCTAGCAGAGCATAAACTATTCTCAAAGGAAGTAGTTAATTCACCGTGAACAAAATTAGTCTCTTCAATATTGATATGGTGCATACTTGAACCGCATCTCGAAGCTCTCATGATCTCAACCAATTCGATTACTACCTCTCTCATTGAAGGCCTATTTTTCCCATTTAAGTCCAGATATTTTCTTGCGAGACTGGCAATTGTTGCGATCTTCTTTTTTACCTTCTTTCATAACTCGAGCATCAAGGATTTCAAATAGACAATTCTCTTTCATGGCACGTAGAAAATATGTGGCAAGACTTCTATCTTCCTCAATATCAGTTGAATGAATTGACTTTTGTCCAGTTAAAAGTTCTACAAGAATTACTCCAAAACTATAAACAACACTTTTCTCAGTAAATTAACTCGATCGGAAATACTCAGGATCAAGGTACCCAAAGGTCCCTTTTACTTGAGTGGTCAAATGAGTTTGATCAATTGCAATAGATCTTGAAATTCTAAAATCCGACAATTTTACTCGAAATTTTTCATCCAAAAGTATGTTTGTGGACTTAATATCTCGATGATATATAGGTACGGAAGCAGCTGAATGCAAATAGGTTAGCACACTCGAAACTTCAAAGGCAATTAGTAATCGTAGTTCCCATGTGAATGGAAACTCCTCATTTTGGTTATGTAAATATTGAAAGAGATTTCCATTAGAAACGAACTCACAGACTAAAAGAGGCACTTCTGTTTCCAAGCAACACCCTACTTGTTGAACTACATTTCTGTGACTAATTTGTGATATTAATATAACCTCATTAATGAATTCTTCAATTTTACTTTCATCCACTATCTTGGACTTCTTAATAGGTACAATTCTTCCTTCTGACAACATCCCTTTATACACAGTGCCTTGATCACCTTCACCAGGAACTCGATTGGCATGATAATTGTCCGTGGCTTTTTCCAGTTCCTTCGAGGTAAACAATTTTGTTTTCTCAATGTTCCCACCATTTCTTGTAAATAACTTCTGCTTCATTTTGATTGCTTTCCGTTTTTGTATGAACTTGTACAACCACCATGTTACAATGATAAGTAACACCATTCCAAGCCCAGCACTGAAACCTGCACAATTCAAGGAAACGAAATACATCATAAATATTCGCAAGTTTTGCGTCAATGGTACTAAATAAATGTAAAGTATGTTGAAATTGATACCTATACTGATTAAATATTTGACTGGAGTTTTTTTAATAAATATATCATCAGAACTTCGTGAACGAGAGCACCATGTTTCTTCATCTTCACTTTGATAAGGTTCATAACCATAAGGACATTCGGAGCAATCGCTATCGTTCTTCGAAACACAAAGCAAGCCACCTACACAAAGTTGAAAAAAAAAAAGAAAAAAAAAAGTTACAAGTAAATGACGATGGCTATAAACATAATTAATAGAGTACCTCTACATTCGCATCCTACATGGATGTCTGATCTCTGACTATCGCAAAGACAAAAATAGTCTGAGTTTAGTTGTATTACACAGTAATCCTCTTTGTTGCAATTTGTTTTGTGTGACTTATAGAGTTCCACACATGAACCTCCATATTTTCCCCATTCCAGAATTGCCGGAATGACTTCTTTATGTTTCAAAACATTAGGGTTTTTTAGGTAGTTTGACTCAAGCCAAGCTTTATGAACTATGAAGGCAGAACTGCATTCCCTGGGAAAACTTTCAGAATAAATTTCTGATATGTTTACGTTTTCAACCTTACGGTTTCGAGGAAGGGTGCATAGGAAATCACAGCAATCAACATATTTCGTATGATCACAAGTACAAAAAGAGTGACAGTGACTCAGGGTTGAATCTTTCTGATTGAGATTGAGGTAGTTTTCGCAACCAATGGCAGTGAATATATTGTCTGTATTCGGAAAAGAAAACTGGCTTCTGGACAGGTTGATGCTTGAATTGCGGGGGAAGTTGATGATTATAGAGGAAGAAGAACGAAGAATTCCGGTTAATTCTAGATGGACGCTGTTTAGGAAAGCCCTTGGAGAGCCAGAAGAGTTGTCGCAAGTTACTTCAAACCACTTGTTGAGGTAGCAGCCTTCACCGATTCCCAAAGGGTATGATAGTTTGACATTGCCACAGCTATTTGGACATAAAATTTGTGATGCTTCGATTTGCCAAAGTAAGAGAATGATGTGAAACATTAACACCAGACGATGAGGATGAACAGTCATTATTGATTATCTTTAATTTCTTAATGGAAGTTTAATGGAGATTGAACACATATTTATAAAATCCCTACTGTAAAACAATTGGCTAAGTGCGCTGTCGCCTGACTTTTAAGTTTCTTGTAAGACTTGTTTTTGTTTTTTTTTTTATTATTATTATTATGGTTTTGGGCTGTAGGATTTCTTTTAAGTTACTAATTCCTTATTGGGTTGGGCTTAGGAATAGGAATCTGTGTAAAACTAGGTTTAATCTCTTAAATCTAGTATATAAACATACTTTTCTCTTGTTATGGGGGTGATAACAAATCATAGGACAATTCATTCATTGTAAACGAGAGAAGTGAGACATATTGCAATAATATTGACTCAGCTGGACGTAGCCCACATTGGGTGAACCAGGGTAAATCGCACGTGTTATTTTCTTTATTTACTGTTTGATTTGTTTTACTGTTATATTTTGTTCATGTTGTTGCCTTTATTTCGTTCAAAAACTAGCTCACATTCGGCATGCACGGTCAGGTCCAAACCCAAGATCCACCTCTTTCACACTCGACGTGTCACACCAAGTCCAAACCCATGACCCACCATCACCCCTAGCAAAGACATAGCTAGAAATAAAATGTAGGGGGGTTCAAGTTGGAAGAATAATACAATTTTAAATTAAAATAAGCATACATAAGGGGGTTAAGTTGGAAAAACAATGCAATTTTAAATTAAAATAAGCATTTGTATGGATAAAGAATTAGAAATAAAAGAATAGGTATTACTTGACCAATATAACATGTATCAGTATAACTTGACAAATTGAAAGAACAATACAATTAACAGTACAAATATAAAATATATTAGTATTACCTGACAAATTGAAAAAAAATAGGCTTGTCGGCTTGATAGGTGGGAGAAAATTGTATTTGTGTGGATAAGAATAAGAAATTTAGGAAAAATTTTGAAACCTAAGTAGTTGAATCACTTATGGGCAATAAATGGGAGAAAATTGTATTTGTGTGGATAAGAATAAGAAATTTAGGAAAAATTTTGATACCTAAGTAGTTGAATCACTTATGGGCAATAAAGAAAGACGGGTCTAGGAAGTAGAGGAAAAGAGGTTTGGTTTTGACTTTTGACAGCCCAAAAAGAAAAAAAGAGACTTAACTTATTTGATGGATTTGAGTTTTTTTGGAAATGATTTTTCATTTAAGGGTAAATTTGTAAAACTAGTAAAAATATTTCCAAACTTAAGGAGGGTCAACTGGCCCTCCTTGACCACCCCTCCCTGGCCCCAAGACCCACCTCCCTCACACTCGACATGTCACGCTAGGGTCCAAACCTAGGAAATGTGCAAATGTGACTAGGTCCAAATCCAGGACCACCATCACAAACATGGCTCTCTCATACTATCATAAACAAGGTTGAGTAAAACTCAGTCCTAAAAGCTAGCTCAAAGGAGAAGAGAATTCAACCACACACACATATATATAAAAGAGAGATACTAATCAAGCAAAGAAATTTGTTTATAAATGACTTTGTGCTGTGAGAAATCACTTATTCACATATAAAATAAGTCATAAACTATACTAGGATACAATAATTTAACGTAAATCGTTGAGTTACAAAAGATATTAATAAAATATGATATAAGAAATCATGAAACACGTTTTGCTAACTTGGTTAATACAATTAATATTTATCCTGTTATGAGTTAGTAAATATTACTCAATTACCCTCTTATCGTTTATTTTAACACCTAAAATTTAACAATACGGGGATTCTTATTAGTTCATAACCCTAGAGTGATTTTTGTTAGTATATCATATCTTAGGGCGATTAATTAGCCCATAAAATATTAAGGGTCCGTTATTTAATTCCTAGCTTGTGTTGTATTCGTTGCATGCAATAGTAAAATATTATCATTTGCCTAACTTTCTTGAATAATATTTATGGCTCACTGCTCTTGAATTCTGTCATTGATTTCTTTGCCCAACCCTCACCTTTCTCAGCCACAAAGCCGTGTATTTGATCAGTAAGAAGAATTAATAGTTGCAGAAGTCTTTGGAGTCGGTGCAAATGCAGAAGAAATTGTTTTGAATTTGATAATATAGACTAGGAAAACCTGGGAGAGATATATAATATATTGATAACTGGTTTAAACTTTCTAATGTGCGAGTTGATCGTGTTAATGACTATTAGACTAAATATAATGTTGAGTTTAAACCCGTAAATTGGTTACATTTTTAAAACCAATTTATGGATACATGTTCTTGAAGTAGTCGGTTTGACTTTGAACCGATATGTCTATCATTTTGTTTACTATGAAATCCATGTAACGAAAAATCTTGAATTGAAACTTTCTACATAAAAAATATTCTTTTAAACAAAGGTATTTGTGCTCAAACGGTCCGTAGCTCAAGATTTGCCTCCATGAAAAAAAAAATTAGTAAAATACACAAATAAAATACTAAAATAGTGTTAAAATAAATAAATAAAAAGTGTCATCACCCAAACCAACTT